ATTGCTTCAACAATTAGCATTTTTCTTTTTTGCATTTCTTTACAAATATCATTTCGAATTAAATTAATAAATTATTTTACAATTATTTTAACAAATGATTTGCTCCCTTTTTTTCTCTTCTTTTCTTTTTCTTTACACATGTAATATTGATTTGATTAATTGATTAATTAATCCAGCAATTAATTTGTTAATTATGCTAACTTTTTACTCATGATTTGAATAATTAGTATTCTTTGCTTTTTTTTTTATAAATATTATTTAAACTAGATTAATTAATTATTTTAAAATTATTTTAGCAAATAATTTGCTCTTTTCTTTTTTCCCTCCCTTCCTCTCCCTCTTTCTTTCTTTTTCTCTATCATATAATATACATTTGATTAATTGATTAATTAATTTAGCAAATAATTTGATATTTATGCCAACTTTTTACTCATTAATTAAATCATTAATAAGTTTTTTTTTTTATGCATTTACTTGTTAATACATATACATTACATTATTTTGATAATTTCACCAAATCATAAATTTAATTTATTCCATAAAAAAAGGTTTCTACAATTACTCCAAAGGAAAATGAAAAATATTCAATTCAAAGAGCGAAAAAAATCGATAGACTTTCGGATTTTCTTCAAAATTTGACCCAATAATTTTTTCTTTTTTTTAAAAATAAAAGATGAAATGAAATAAAATGAAAAATAAATTAAAATACATTTTGCTATTTTTCTTTTACTTTATATTCCTGAAATTTAACCATTAAACGATGCCTTAAATCAATAATTCCCAATTCAATCTTTTCTTGACTAATCACTATTTTGGCTTTTTCTTTTTAATTTCTAGCAGTAATTACAAAATTTAAAAATTAATAAATTTGATTAATTTAAAAATAAACTTTAATCGAAACTTTTAACATATCAGTTTATCAAACATTGATACGACAAAAAGTCTCCACCCATTTTCTAGTCATCACGTCGCCATCCTTACGAATTTAATTCTTGTGGGGGCATCGATTAGGAAGAAACAATTATTTTAAATAATCCATCAAAAGTAAACATTTTTGACAAATCGGTCATTTTTGGTTTAGCGTTATTTGAAAGTTATACATTTTAAAGATTAAAATATTTTTTTTAATTTTTTAAAAATTTCAAAAAACAAAAATCACAAAAAAAATCAATTAAGCAAAAGAAAATTTAAGTAATTTAAAGAAATGTGAAAGAATTTCTTTCATTTTCCTTTAAATTACCTAAATTTTCCAAATAATTTCTACAAATTTATTTCAATTTCTGCAAACAATATTATTGTCATTTTTTTTCTTTCTTTCCTTTCTTCACTATCCTCTCACCTGTCATTGTTAATTTTATATTTTAAATGATAAATTTGAATATTATTCGTGTATGAATAAATTAATTAATTCACCGTTTTAAATTATATCTATGAATATTTCTTGCATATCTACATAATTAAATATTCCATTCCTACTCACTGTTATTAATTAATTCATTAAACCAAACCGTTCATTAATTTATTTACTTACACTTATCCCTTTCCTCTTACTCTTTATAAGTGCAAGTAAATAAAATAATGAATGACATAATTAATTAATAAATAATGAAATGAATTGTATCATTTACTCATGTAAATCTATTGAAAATATCTATTGATGCAGTTTCGAAGGATAAATTAATTATTTCATGCTAATTGCTTATTCCTTATCATTAACTAATTATTCCATTAAATAACAATTTGGTATAGCACAAAATTAAGCATGCATTTGATAATAATATCTCATATATTTGAATATGCTGTTCATTTAGTTAAAATAATTTTAAACTTTAAAATTTTGAATAGATTTTTTTTCTTTTTATCTCTTAATTTTATCATTTATCAAATAACTATATTTACTTTTACTATTGTTATTTCTAATTATACTTGAAACAAAATGATCAAATTAAAAAAACTCATTAATCATATCACTGATACCAACTGTTAACGAACAGATATATACAATTTAGTCTTACATATTTCTCAAAATCTCTTTTCTCTTACTTTAGTTTTTGTTTTTTGTTTTTTTCTTTTCTTGAACTTAGTCTTTTTTTTATAACAAAATGTTTTAAAATATTTTTAGCAGCATTGCTTTTCTTTCAATATAACATTACATTACTATAGTCTCATCCAACATTGTTTCATTTATTTCATTTTAATAATTTTTAATTTTTTAATTAACTACCCGAATAATTGCATCTTTTTTGAAAATGAAAAAGGGCTATTTGCTATGAAGCACTGAAATAAGTTTAGATGACAATAATGCTATGGTGATAAATTGATAGGATAAGATAAGCTCATTCTCATATAGTTTTAATTTAAGCTTGAAAATGAACAATTAAATGTGTCTTCGTAATGTTTATCTAGTAAAATACAGTTAGAAATTAGCTCACGAAAGCTAAAAACTATGCTTATTTTTTGAAAAAATATAATTTAATTTTTGCAATCACTCAAGAATTAAGCAAATTGAAATTGAATTTTATAAATATGTCAATAAAATTTTGCAAATATTTAATTTAATTATGCATAAAATGTATCATTCTTCCAATGGTTATGTATATATCTTATAATTATCTACCAAAATCATTCTCATCAATATATCAAATTAATTCATTAATTCATTCCTATAATTATTTTTCATCACTCGTTCATGGATACTTTTATACATAATGACTAACATATTTCTACTTTGACAATTTTTATATTTTAATTTAACTAAAATAAATCTTGTCGTTTTTTTTTTTAATTTATAATTATTCATTTAATATCATTATAAATTTTGGTGTAAAAGAAAAAAAGAAAACGAAGGAATAAATAATCATTTTTGGTGATAATATTTCAAATTTTTACTCTTTCAATATTGACTTTATTCTCTTTTCTTTTTTTTTTTCTGTAATTTTTACAAAAAATTATCTTTCCATATCATATTATATCTTATCAATTTCTATCACATCTCTTCATATTAATTTATCACTTTCATTTTTATAAGCATTATTTTATGACACTTTGTCAAAATTATTCTGCTTTTTGAATGCTATTATAGTGCTTGTTTGATTATTTATAATTAGTATGAATTAAATCTCATTCATATGAAATAATTAGTATGAACTGATTATTTTTCAAATTATATCATTTAATATCATCAAAAATATATGGTTATTTTAGAAAATTGTCATTATTTTAATTAATAATTAATTCTATTTACAGATTGAAATGAGTGCCGTAATGTTAATGACAATAAATGGAATGATAATTTTGATTATTTTGATAATTCCTTCAATGCATTTTACAGTGGCAGCACCTGTATGCCACAATTGTGATTTCGGTTGTAATGATACTACCAAGTAAATGATATTAATTGTAATATATTGCCACGTAAGTGATTATAGTTGTAATGATATTACCAAGTAAGTGATTATAGTTGTAATGATATTACCAAGTAAGTGATTATAGTTGTAATGATATTACCAAGTAAGTGATTATAGTTGTAATGATATTACCAAGTAAGTGAATATAGTTGTAATGGTATTT